CTCGGCCGCTGCCAGGCGCCGTGCGCTGGGTAGCTCTGCTCCCTGCGGCCGAAAGCTGGGTACAGGGTAGGCAGAGGCGCTAGGGAGGGAGACGAGCACAGTGGCGAGCGACTGGCGCAGCCAGCTGAAGTAACAGAGGGAGACGCTTTGTGCCTGGTCAGTCCTGAAGCTCGAGTCCCGTTTTCAGCACGAGCTAAGTTCTGAAAATGCCCAGCAGCCCGTAAGAATCGGCTACAATCGGACATTTACAGTCACAGATTCCATACTTACAGATCCCAAATAGGACAGTAGCAAATGGAACACATTTAAACTTCCCTTGCTAATTATGGCCCACTACTAACTAATAATAAACTCATTAGTCAAAGCAACTACTATTTAGTTTCCCTTTTTCCAGGCTGCACAGCAACTAGCCAATTAGAGGAATGTTAACCTACACTAGGATAATTAAGGTAAAAATGCATCATCACAGGCATTTCAGACGATGTTAATTTAAAAGACAAAAAATGCAACATTTTTGGTCATTGTAATATTTCATTCAGGCAAGGTAAAAATTAGAGGGGGTGCAAAAGGCTTGGGTACATGCAGAACAGACGGAATTATCCCCAGGATTCAGAAAACAGAATACACTCGAGAAAATACTGCCCATCAGGTATTTTTATTCCCTCTTAAACTTAATTCCTAATAGAAAAGGATTGTATACAAGAATACTCCTGTACAGAAATCCCTTATATCTACCAAACAATCTTGCTGGATATTCCAAACGGTTGCAAGAAAATGTCCCTTAATAAGCACAGGAACGTAAATCATCTTCTGAATTCTCAACTTGGGAAAGAGCGGCATAAAAATTTAAACTATTATTGGAAATGAGATGTTTACTGTTCTTGGAGGATTATTCTTTGATCACAGGTAAGAAAGACAGAAATCTTTATATAAAAATGTCATTAAAAATATCACAATATTGATACATTCCTACAACACTGCAACTCTAATTTCACTCAATATAGGATTCTGCAATAACTACATAACATCTGTCACTAGACTTACCTGTGATGTAACATTAAAAACATGTCTATGTGGTTGGTTTTGGTTTAGTTTTGAGGGAGACCTCAGCGCACTCCTCCTGAAGTCCAAAATGGTGGGAGGCCAAAGAGCTTTGATCTGAAAGTGCTGTGTTCTGTGCAGGGTTTGAGTACACCGCCTTCAGATCAGAGCTAGCCAGTACCCACGTACCTTGGAGCAATGGGTAAAGCCAGAACAGCTCTACCCATAAAAAAAAATTAGTCAGGTATCAGTCAATGTCCTTCAAAAATGCACAGGTGTCAGAAAGGGTCATCCACTCTTAATTTTCACCCCTAAATCAAGGTAAAGTATGCTCCTTATATGAGTTACTACTTAAAAGTGCTCTTTTGGCTATCTGCTGTTCTCTTGATCTGCTTCCAAGCAGTTGTCCAAGTAATGATGTTAACCCAGCCAAATACCGAGTGTTAGCTCTTCAAAGCAAAAGAAAAGCTCTGCGTGCCCGCCTTGTGCAGGCAGAGCAAAATGTGTACCTACCATTTGCAATGTAGTTTTTGAATAATCTCTTATTCCTTCTATCAAATAATCACAACCTGTATTATGTTCTCTAGCTACTTACAAGGTGGATTTAAGTGCCATCTGCACAGTTGGAATTATTAACTAAAGCTCATAAAAATAACAAACGGGAGAGGAAATAAACTATCACAAGAGAGTACACATCATAAATACTTCATTGTTAAGCATCTGCTGCAATTCTTAAGACGGAGCAGCAATGCAAGCCTTTGCCATCAAGAGTATGTAATTTCAGAAAAATGCAGAGAAAACAGCCCACACATTTTGAAAGATAAAACAAATATACAAGGAAACACCTGAAAAAAACCAGATCAAAACTCATCCTTGTAGGGTAGTTTCATAATAGTCTCTGAAGTGAAGATTTGGAGATAAGGTTATTTTGTGACCTAAGCTTCACAGTCAGGCAGATCTTCTTTCCCCACCTCAAAAGATTCTTTGCTGATTGACAATAGTTCACGCAGCTCTTTGTTTTCAAGCTGCAAAATCAATATTTTTGCTGAAATAGAAATGAGCTAATTCACAATTACAGGACTATAGTAGAAATCAGCTAATTCACAATTAAAGGACGATAATCTTTAAATAGCCCCACTCCTTCCCAGCTAAACAAAACACTGATTTTGTAACGTAAGCATTAATACAGTGCTAGCAAGAGGAAAACCACACCATTTAAAGCTTATCTTTTGCTTCTGGCTTCATATACATAATACAAACACCAAGAATTTGAAAATAAACAGATGTTATGCATTTCCTGATCCCATCCCTAAATTTTTCATTGTTATAAATCCTTGACACATACAAACATAGAAGGTCCAGAGTAAGTCTAGAAACTCCCAAAGCTTGACCTATCCTTAGCAATTGCATGTCCTTACCTCCAACTGAGCTAGTTTCTCCTGAACTTTAAAGAACTGATCATCATCGACTTGAATAGCTTTTCTCATCACCTCTCCCATCTCACATATTCTGTCTATTTGACTTTCAATTTCCTGAAAGACATAAAAGTAATATATTCAATATGTTCAGGCAAAAACAGCAGTAATAATTTATCCCTTCTAAATCACTTACTTCATTTTCTTGATTTTGGATTATTTTCCTGTTTTGAATTTTAACCCTTTCCTCCCAAGCACTGCAATCCTTTCTAATCCTTGTATAATATTTAAAGATAAAAACATGCACCTTATTGTCCATTATCATGAGTCATCAGTGAAAACAGTTAATAGAATTACATCAGTCAGCAAGATAAGGCACCCTTACTTACTAAGATGGAAATAATTTCAAGTGTTACAACGACTGAGACAACAGATTCAGGTTCATGTGAACATGATTAGTATGCAGCAAATTTTATATTGCTTTATTAGAACAGCCTGACCCTGAGGTTTTTTTTACAGGAATGCAGAATATAAAAGCATATGAGATTTCAAGACTACGTAACAGCGTGAAGTAAACAGCCTCATCTCGGAAGGAAGCCAAGCACGGAAACTAAAATAAATAAGACCAGAGCCTCCTGAGGCAGTTTTTACAGAATTTGTCTAGATACAGCTCTAATCCTTTGGAAGATGCACTTCGTTGAAGCTCAGAAATGCACATATAATGAACACTGAAAAATTCCAACATGTAATGTAGCAACAGTTCCTGTTCGAAGAACATTCCATTTCAAAACACAGTATTTAGGGAGGAACTCAAATGTGCAAACACAAAAACATCAGTAATTGGCAAGAAGTAGCAAGACAAGAATTTGGAAGCTTTTGAAGCATTTTAACATCACATAAAAATACAAGCACTTTCAGGAATATCAGATAATGTTATAGGGTGGAGTTTCTTTTTTTCTAAGTGTCAGTAGTTATTCCACTGCCTCTGGAAGATAAAATGTATCAGCAGAGCAGAGAACTCAGTTTTGAATTCCATTATTCAGAAAATACGTAAACGAATTAAAGCATCTAGAAGAAGCTGGAGCAACAAGAAAGACGTAGATAACTTAACTGGAAAGAAAGAATGATGTTTTTTTCTAAACAGAAATATGGTTATAATAAGAATATAGGTCTTTAAAAGACATTAAAAAGTTGTTACTATTCTCCAATTGGTGGGTAGGAAAAAACTCATGGACTTAATCCATGAGTACAGGAAGATTTTGCCTAGATATTGAGATAGTCTAAGTACATTCCATCAAAGCCTCCTCCAGAGCCTCTTCAACTTTGCATTTCCATGCCATTAAAATGGAACAAAAGCAGTGCCAGAGAATAATGTTAGAAGTTTTGTTCAAATAAATCTTGATAAACAGAGCAATTCATCCACCTAAGGAAGCACTGGAAGCAAGACATTGCTACATTACTTTACTTCAGAGGACCTAAGCAACACAAAACAGAACTAATGAGTTGTCACATATCAGTTCAAAGATATATATGCAAAGAGTTAAGCTGGCTCCAATTCCAATTAAAACCCCACAAGATATGAGATGTCACTAGGTTGAACCAGCTTGCTATTCTCTAATCACATAAAAATGCATTTTAACAAATCCCTAGCTTAATTCATAAGCCTTAGAGATTTAATGTTATTATATTGTTATTAGACACCTAAACGTAAAACAGGCAGCAGTTATCAGTAGCCACAGACTTAAGAGTTCTGAAGTCACTGCACCCAACACGGACGAAGGGACACTTCTAGGCCATTGCACAGAGTATCCGGATTTAAAAACATTTGGGAGTGATAATTTCTTAAGAATTAAACATACTGCAGCTCACAGAGATTTAGGAGGTTCTTCTCCCTTTGTTACAATTACTGAACAGGAACAATAACAACTCTGATGTCTTTGAACAGAAATCATGTGCATTAAGCTTAACCCAGGGAATTTACCACCTGGTCCATAAAGAATATGCCTTCACCTGGACCATGAAAGGATTATGCTTTCCAGTGTCCTCTGTGATAACTGTGACAACCTGTGTGCTGTAAAAGGAATATAGAAAAAAAAATACCAGCAAAGAGAGACAAGAGTTTCAGAAAACATATTTTGGAGCAGAGACGTTTCATGAATGGAAACAAAGATTATATGAAAGCAACCAAGAGACAGGGAAGAGGGGTCTCGAGCCCTCTTCTGTCCCCATCCCACTTTACCAAGGAATTATCCTGATGAACTTTCAGGACCGGTTCTGCATCTTCACCTTTTCTCCCTTGCAAAAGCTGTAACATCTGCTTTCTGTATTTGCTCATGATAAGCTCTAACGCATCTTGATGCTCCTCCAGCGAGATCCATAGCTCTGCAAAACACAGTATGCCATTGCCACAAACTACAAGCAATTTTTCACAGCAATGACGGCCCAGAGGTGCTCCGTTCCAGTTGCTCGCTCGATTCGTGCTACCCCACCACTCCCCTCGACAGCGCAGCCCTGGGGCTCCGACCCCTCGCTTAGCCAGGAAGCCGTCCTGACGCCGGTACTCACGTCCACACCGAGGCATCCAGCGACGCTGACCGAAGGCAAAACAGCCGCGCTCCCC